ATACCTCTCCGTCACACGGAGTGATAAATCCCAGTCTCGATTCGTGCCAACCCAACAGACACTTTCAGAGATACCTGTAGTGTACCTTTATAGCCACCCAGTTACGTTGTGACGTTTGGCACACCCAAAGCACTCCTAGGATATCCGGGAGTTGCACAATCTCATGGTCTAAGGAAATGATACTTGACATTAGAAAAGCTTTAGCATATGAACTACATGATCTTGTGTTAGACTTAGGATTGGGTCTTGTCCATCACATCATTCTCCTAATGATGTGATCCCGTTATCAACGACATCCAATGTCCATGGTTAGAAAACCGTAACCATCTATTGATCAACGAGCTAGTCAACTAGAGGCTTACTAGGGACATGGTGTTGTCTATGTATCCACACATGTATCTGAGTTTCCTATCAATACAATTCTAGCATGGATAATAAACGATTATCATGAACAAGGAAATATAATAATAACCAATTTATTATTGCCTCTAGGGCATATTTCCAACACGTCCATGCAGGGCCGCCGCTCCGCCGGCGATGGTGCTCGGGCCCCCGCCGCACAGCCCGGATACTCCGTCCTAGCCGCCACCGTTGGATCTCATGAGAAGGGCCGCCCCCACCGCCTCAGATGGGATCCGCCGCCTCCCCCCGCCCAGGACCTTTGGCACCGGGCCCGCCGCCACCGCGGCCCACGCCGGCGGCAGGAGGGGGTGGAGGGGGAGGTGCTGGCGGCGCTAGGGTTGGGGCCCCTGGGGTCACTCGGGGGGAGGCGACGCGAGGGGTGCGAGGATAAAGGAGTATAAAACAAGCCTATCATGGTCAGGCACGACCCCCGCGTCACTCTTCCTGGCGACTCGGGGGCAAATCCCTCATGCCGCCGGACGTCCTCCACGCCCTCCCCTCCTCTTGCTGCCGCCAGAGGCGTTGGCCAGCAAAGCTCGGCAGGCTTCGGTGAATGCGGCGGCGGGGCGTTCCGTCAGCTGGTACTAGGAGGTGGACGGCGTGCCTCTGGTGTGTGTCTGGCTTGGCCCTCGGGTTCCTGGCTTGCTGGATATGCAGCGACAGGGCTAAGTGTAGCTTGCCCGCTGCGCTCGGTGAAGACTACGGCCTTGGGCGGCTGCTATGGCGAGTCCTCCGCCTAGATCTGGCGCTCCCTAGGCTGGCGACCCAACGATGGTTTCTATCACGGGTGTGGAGCACGTTGCCTGGTTGACTGGGCCGATGTGGTCCTCTATCGACTGGAGGCCTGCCGGCGGAGGTTCAACTGCAGCTAATAGCTTTGGCCATGTCCGAAAAACCCGGATCGACAAGTGCTCACGCCCTTCCACACCAAGCCATCCACCGACCATCACGGGATCCCTGTGCGCAACGTCCCCTGGTGGCAGCGACAGATACTATTCGTGCGTCCTCCCCACCAATGGTCTGGTGCTGCACAACGACGACTGCTTTGGCTGTTGGCGCTCATGGCATGGTATGGGCTGTGCGTCGGGCTCTCTGGGAGGTGGACTGCGGCAGTAAGGTTGTGGAATTCCATGCAGGCGGCACCTAGACGACGAAGCTGCGGCTCACGGACTTGGCTATAACCTGCAAATTGTGGACGCTGACTTAATGTAGAGGGATGGATGCGTGGCGGAGACAGGCATCGCATGTGCTGTTGGATTGCGGAAAAGTGGTGATGACAACACTTAAGTGATTTCGTTGGTGGTGCTACTCGAGTATCCTGTTGAGAGCTCCGGGGTGAAAGCCTAGGTCTGACCCGAGCTAGTTATACCTGGCAATGACGATATTTTACATCATTACCTTGTTGAAGGCATTGATCGGATATGTTTTGATTGATTTTTCAGGGTGAAAATCTAGATTCTGTCCTTGGTGGTTGGATCCGGCGATGGCGACGGCGACGCTTGAGCGTCGCTTCCTTCTTGAAGGCGTTGTTGTTGAAGAACCTCATCATCTGGTTGATGTCATTAGATGGTTGGTACTGATATGATCATTGTTGTAGTTTGCCGATTAAGGATATGCTCACCTTGGATTTTCTTTTTTTTTTCCTCGCCTACGCATAGCTTTGGTCTTATATGACTTAGCTATTTGCCGGCGTGTTCTTCGTGTGTATGCATTGATGTTGGCTGTGTGTATCTTAACTATGTAGAGGCTAGGTGTGTGCTGTTTGAGTTTGTATCCTCATGCTTCTTTTTGAGCAAATAAAATCCACCATTTGTCCAAAATGGATTGCTCACAATACAGGGTGCTTGTTGATCAGATTCAAAGGGATATTTCTTTTCCGCATATTAGTTGTTCACAGAATAAAGTGAGCGATGCGCGAAATTGCGTAGGAGCACTCGGCGAGACGACGCTCATTGAAATCCTGCCCATCAAATCGTCTTGGGATTCTCACGCACTATATTTGCCCCATTGTATTCATGTCCTTATAACTAGTATTTATCTTTCCCCTGTTCAGTATAGCAAACGTAAAGTACACGCATTTTGTTCCACACACATTAAAGTTCCTGTCTGCTACACTGTTCCAACTCTGATGGCAGAAGTTTCATTTATGTCATTTAACATTGTTGGTGCACTTTCAATACGTGAACAGAAAAAGTGCTATCTTTTTACTACTTACACTCCAAAATTTGGATTGTTACTGCAAGTCCGGTCATGTGATATAATATAAATAATTAGACAGTTAATAAGGCGCTCGGATTCTTGGTACGGGCAAAAACTTTCTTGTCCAACCTATCAATGCACTGCGTCTAGGCCACTAGGCAGAAGCATGCATGGCTAGTAATAGTTTGAACACAAAAGTAAAAGAAAACTTCCTGGGATAAAGACCATAGATGAGAAAGTTAGCATTTGTTCTATTTTTCTATTCCACTGAACACATCGGCAGCTAATTTGAGTGACAAACTAACAAGTTATCAGGTAAATCTCGCTTCATTTAGAAACTCAAGCCACGTTCATCTTCCTCTTCTTGCACGCGATACTATTATGAGTAAAATGATTTACGAGGAATTATAGCCAAAATATGACTATTTTGTTTTTGTGCACATAATCTATTTTGTGCACATTATGTAACCTTCCAACGTTTTTTTCGGCACTAATTAATGGGAGGAGGAGGAACAGTGGCCGGGCTAAGAGAATCAAAGGGGCGAGAGCAATGGCAATGAAGAGTACAGTTTGTTTAATTAACACTATGAAGATAAAGTATCGGTGGCTCAATAGTCTTCATAGTCCAATAAATGCCCAACAATGTGTTGTACTTACAGCATGACTTTTGGTCCTAATTTATTGTCGCCAAACAGGTACGCACTGTGCCGCTCTACGTTGGAGCAGTGTATTCAACAATAACAATTCATTTCATCCAATTATGAACTGATCCCTAGACAGCAGTGCAACGGCGGAGATTCCAATGAGCGTAGTCGCCGAGTGCTCCTAGTTCGCGTCTTGCATAGGAGCACTCGGCGACGACGCTCATTGAAATCCTGCCCATCGATGCGCTTGCTGCATACGAACATAGTACCCCGCGGTTTGGTTGTACCTGGCCCTAGATGACATTGTAAACCTAGTCAGGGCTGATATGCAACCTTGAGTAATGAAATCTTCCTTTGTCCCTAAAAAAATTGAATCTCTGTCTATTTCTTCAATGATGTATATACTCCATGAATCACAAACTAAAAAAACATAGAATCACTAACAATTACGTCCAGGATTAGCTGGGTCGTCCCATAAGTCATTTGAACTAATTATTTACCCGTCACAGTCTGGCTAGATCTGGGTAGACCCCCTAATTAGTACTCCCTCTGTAAACAAATATAAAAGCATTTAGGTCACTAAAGTAGTGATCTAAACGCTCTTATATTTCTTTGCGGATGGGAGTACATGAATCAAGACCGAAGCTCGTGTCTGACACTAGTTGGTCCCAAATTTCAGTTTTCTATAGACCTCGTATACTCAAAACAAGGTTGTGAATTTGGAAAAAAGGTTCGTGAATTTGAAAATGTTCATTAAGTGAAAAAAATCAGATACTGCATAAAATGTTCACACATTTAAAAATGTTTAAAAATTTGATAACAATTCATGAACTTGAATCACGGATTTCAAGAAGTTCGTGAAAAATAATAATCACGAATACAAAAAGTTCATGATCTGAAAAATGTTCATGAACATTAAAAAGATTCCTCATTTTTTTTGTTTTTTGGTTTTCTCCCGTTTTTTCGTAAGTGTTGGACAAAAAAGTTTAGAAAAAAAATGCTTTTTTCTTCCGCACAAGGCACATATTTACCCTTCGTGCATGCCTGGATTTGCTTCAGCAAGAGGCATTGTCATGCCTCTCAGAAAAGGGAAAAACTTTTTTTTTCTTTCGTGAAAGGCACAGATTTACCTCTTGTGTAGGCACAGATTTGCTTTCAGGAGAGGCACTTTTGATCATAAGAATAGGGTATGCCGTGCGTCCATATATGCCAACTAATTTAGACCCTTTGAAGCCTTTAGTTATCATGAAAATTTTGTGAGACAATTTCTAGATTTATATACTGAAGAAAAATAAATGTTTAAAAGCAATCTATTGGTAAAAGGATAAAAAATTATGCACATATAATAATAAACCAACAAATTACCTAGGTCTACAGATAAACACCGACATGAGCTATTTTAGCTCTTCATTAAACCATATCTAGCATTGTCACTAAAATTAGATGTTAGGATAAGGCATCACCATGTTGAAAAGTAGAAGTAAATCAAGACGTTACGATAAGAATTAATGGCATGCATTAATATCTTAGACCATATCTAGCATTGGCACTAAAGTTACATGTTAGGATAAGGCATCACCATGCTGAAACGTGCAAGCAAATTAAGACGTTTGGATAAGGATGACATGCATTAATATCAAAAAATAACAGTGTCGCCATTAAGCAAACTTTTTCTATAAATATAGATCATGGATGTACGCATACACAGATCAGTTTTAGTTAGGACGAAAATCACACACTACCCGATCGATCGCTATGGCATGGTGCATGAAGAACATAGGCAAAGGACAGTTGGGAGGCAACAAGGTGTTGATATGCTTGTGGGCCTTGTGGCTGGTGACGCTGCTTGTCTTGTCATCTGGTACGAATACTTCGGACCCGCACTTCTCCCGATCAGAATGATCCAAAGTTAATTTAGTTTTTGTTTTTGCGCGTGCAAGTTAATTTACTTGATTGTTAATTTGTATATCGTTTTCGGACGTATGCAGAAAAGATGGGTTCGGATGCCTGTGATAGACAAATTAGCCAGACATGGCCTAACACAACATGTATCATTCGCGGCACCTGCAACAAGTACTGCAGAAGGGAGAACTTTGACCGCGGCATCTGCAAAGAACTCAATTATTGCTTCTGCTACAGGAACTGCGCCATCGAATCCATCTAGCCATATACTATGTGCCATTTTCATGAATGCTCGATCGAAGCTATTGCTATGAGCTCATGCATTATGAATGAAATAAATTAACTTTTTTAAGCCGCTCTGTCCATCTATCCGTGCCATAATAAAGGAATAGATCTTTTTTTTTTT